TACATCCCTTTGTTCATCTATTCCTCACCTGAGATGATGACCTTTCTGTGCTCTTGTGATAAAGACCCTCTTTGTCTTCTGCATTTCTATACATGGCAGTAGCTTGATTGTCACAAATTGCTTCAGTTTGCACTGTCTTGAAATGTCCTTGTTTCTCCATCTTTGCTATCTAAAACTATCTTGATTGGCATTTGTTTACTTCTGGTATGAAGTAACATGCTCCATGCTTCTGTGGGTTTTTTTGGGTTGCTAGTGGGAGATCTGGTGTGCTTGCCTTCTTAGATGTGTTGATGTTTTTCCCTCAAAGCTTATTTTATTTTCAGATGCTGGAGACTGAACCAATGTTGTGCATATTAGGCAAGCGCCCTCCCTCTGAGCTGCGCACTGGACCCCTTTTCTTCTTTAGTATTGTTGCTTTGCTTTGAATTTTCAACACACCGACTGTGAGGTGTCTGTTGGCAATTTTTTTCTGGTGGTATCTGTTTGGAATCTAAATGCCCCTTGTGTTTGGGTGCCCATTTCCTCCTCTAGATTTGGTAAAGTTTTTGGAATGATTTTGTGGAATGACCACTTACACCTTTAGATTTTGTTTTAATCCCCTCCTTGGCTCTTGGGCATGGTTTCTTGGATGCTATCAGAGTTCTTGGAGGTTTATCCGTGCTCACTCTTTTTCCTTTGTGTTGAGTGTACTATCTATTGCCTTAAGCTTGTCCCTCTGCACCAACAATATTTCTTCTTCTGTCTTTGTTGGTGATGCTTCCTGCTGTGTGTTCTGTTTGGCTGATGGACTCTTATTTCCAGCAAATCTAAGTTGGTTCTCTTTCAGAATCTAGTTTCCTTGCTGATTTTGCCTCCTTGGTTTTGAGTTAATGGCCCCTTTTAACTACCTTACTTTCCTACCCATACCATGAATTCATTTTCTTCTTCTTATTTGAGTCCTGTGTAGGCAATGATCCTTTTAAAATAGGACCCTGAGCTTTTTTTTTTTTTTAATCTATCTTAAATTACTTGTATGTATGTGTGTCTGTGAAGGGATATTTGCACACATGTGTGGGTGCCCATGGAGGCCAGAGGCATCAGTTAGTCCTGGTGCTGGAGTATAGGCAGCTGTGATCCACCTGGATCCATGCTGACAAAAGAATTTTCAGGTCCCTTTGAAGGGCTGTATGCACTCTTAACTACTGAGACATCTTTCCAGCCCCACCCTGAACTCCTTTTCTGGCATTTCATCTGCCTTACTATCTTGGGTTTCAGTACTGAGTTACAAACTTGTGGAAGTGTTGTAGTCCCTCCCTCCTTCCCTCCCTCCCTCCCTCCCTTCTCTTTCTCTGTGTGTATTTGTTGGGTTTTGTGTGCTTTTGGGAGTGCCTGTGTCCTCTAGTTTTTATTTTTCTCCATTTTTATTTGTTTTGTGTGAGCCCTTCCTGATGAGAGAGTTGTCCTTGCCTGGGTTTATATTCCCTGCAACGGTTTGGAACAGTGACAGTATGCAGTAAGAATGGTTGGACAGCAATCCAGGCATTGAGTTGCAGTAAAAGTGCTGTGGACCTCACTGACATTTCCAGTTCGGAGACAAGACACTAGAGGACTTTGCTGAAGGTGCCGTCTGTCCTCTCACCAGAAGCCTCTTCTTTCCTCTCCCTCTGTCTTATTTCTTCCCCAGTGTCCTCAGGTTAGTCGCACTGGGTTCTTGAGAATCTGTGTGAGATTCTGTGTCTCCACCCCCTTACCCCTCCCCCACCTTCCTTCTCATTCTTCCCTCCCTTCTCTGTCCCCTTTCTCTTCCTTCTTCCTCACCTCTCCCCCTTCCCTTTCTCCACATTTCTCCTTTCCTAGCCCTTTCTCTTTCCCTTCTCTTCCCCTTTCTCTTCCTTCTTCCTCACCTCTCCCCCTTCCCTTTTCTCCACATTTCTCCTTTCTAGCCCTTTCTCTTTCCCTTCTCTTCCCCTTTCTCTTCCTTCTTCCTCACCTCTCCCCCTTCCCTTTTCTCCACATTTCTCCTTTCTAGCCCTTTCTCTTCCCCTTCTCTTCCCCTTTCTTGCCTCCTTCCCTTTCTTCTTTCCCCTTCTCTTCTCTTTCCCTTTCCCATTCCTCTCTCTTAGATTTCTTCCCTACCCCGTTATTCCTTTCCTAGCCCCTGGCCTCCTCCTCCTCCTCCTCCTCATTTCTGCTTTCTCTTTCCTTTCATTATCTTACAGGGTGTTCATGTTTAACCCAGGCTAACCTTGAACTCTGGATTTTACCTGTCTTGGTTTCCTGAGTTTTGAATTATAGTCATGTGCCACCACACCTAGCTCACCAAAAGACCCAGTGTTTTTTTTTTTTTTCTTTTAGGGTATCATTATTTAACCCCACTAACCTGGAATTCATTATGTTGACCAGGCTAGTCTTGAACTCAGATCTGTCTGCCTTTGACTTCACAATATTGGGACCAAAGGTGGGTCCAACATGCCTGATAAAACCCAGTTCTTAATTAAAATAGGTCATTATCTTATTTTGGGGAAATAACCTGCATGAAAGTCATCACTAGTCTGTAGAATCAGTGCTGCTGGAGTGACAGGCTTGGGACGCAATGACACGACATAGTACTTGGACTGCCTATTTAATGAGGAGGACGGTGGTAGGCTGACCCTTGTGGGAAGAGGATCCAGCTAGAAGAAGCAAGGCAAAGAAGAAGAATGTGTAAGGACTTGAGGGGGGTGGTATGAGTGAGTACAGAGATGATAGCTGTAATCTCTGGGCTTTGGGCTTAAGTTCAGCAACAGAACTTGACAATTTCAATTATGATGCATATGATCTCATTTCTTTTTTCTGGTGGCATCCCCCTTGGTATTCCTTTCTCACACTTTGTAGGTAAACATGGCAGCTGAGCAGGCCTACAGGCTTCACAGGTTTTCCTTTGTCCTTGCTGTTTGCTTGCTGGGGATGAGCAAGAGTCAGGCTCAGGCTCTGCAGGGTCTTGCTAAGCCTCCTGCCAGCTGTGCAGGCTCTCTTCTAAGAGAAGAGGACATGCCACGGTGAGGGTGACTGAGAGTTGGCAAGGCTGCAGAAATAGCCAAGGGCTGGGCCACCATGGTCAGAAGCCTTATGTATTTTACCTGAGGATTCTGAATCTAGTCTTAAGATTGCTAGGGAGCTTTAAAAAATCTGAAATGGGTAGGGGTAGAGGAAGGAAACCACAAGATAAATTTTTCACTTTCAAAAGCTGACTTTGTGTTGAAGAAAATGGACTGGAGTTGTACTTAAAGGAGCAATAGATCCCTGTAGGATCTGTATCACATGAGACTTTGTTAGAAACACGGACTTCTCTTTTCTTTCCTCTTTTTAAAAATAATATATTTTTATTTTTCGTGTATTGGTGTTTTGCCTGCATGTATGTCTGTGTGAGGGTGTCAGATTCCTGGAACTGGAGTTACAGACAGTTGTGAGCGGCCATGTAGGTGCTGGGAATTGAACCCAGGTCCTCTGGAAGAGTAGTCTGTGCTCTTAACACCTGAGTGCACACCTTTATTCCCAGCACTCAGTAGGCAGAGGCAGGCAGATCCTCTGAGTTTGAGGCCAGCCTAGTCTATAAAGCTAGTTTCAAGACTAGTTGCAAGAGAGCTAGGACTACACAGAGAAACCCTGTCTTGAAACAAAACAAACAAAACACAGAGTTTTCAGGCCCAATTCGAGAATTGCTGAATCAGTCTGGGTTTGGGGTGGAGTAGTGTAACACGAGTTCTAATAGGTCTTAATAATAAAAGCCCAGAACCAGATATGGGGGAAAGGCTGAGACATCAGAGAGATGAAGGAGCAAAACCACAGCCACCTTACCTTCAGCTTTCCATCCGAAAAGAGACTGAGCTCCTCTCTCCTTCCACCTTGTCATTTCCTCTCTCCGCCAGCCATCTCACTTCCTGTCTGTCTGTACAGACCTCCAATCTGTATGGCTAAGTGATGACGAACTTTGCCCTCTGATCTTCAGGCAATCTTTTATTTAGAGTACAAACAAGATATCACCACAGATTAGTCTTGTTTTATTTGATTGTTACATATATTGATGGTTGGAAATGGACTCTAGGCCATGTAGAGAAATATCCCACAGACTAGTAACAGCAGTAGTGCCAAAGAGGGACACAGTCGCCAGTGCCCTAGATGTTGGCTGTATAGGACGTTGACTTCTAATATATTCAAATCTGAAAGTGGAAAACTGTTGAAGATACTATTTAAAAAGGGAACCACCCTACTCCTAGGAAAACAAGCTATAGGTAGGTGGTCAGTGGCTGCTGAGAGAGGGAGAATCAGTTTCCTTGAAGGGATGAGCTCCCACAGAGGTTGTCTGATCTTAGGTGGTCAGCCTTGGATACACATGAGCACATGAACTCAGTAGGATATGTGTGTGTGTGTACACAAACATGCACATGTACACATACATGTGTGGCAATAAAGAAGAGACCATGTATTTGGGAGGTAGAACATGGGAAGACTTGGAGGAAGGGGGGGGTGTAGGAGTGAAGTAGATGATTACTCATGTATGAAATTCTCAGAATAATAAAACATTACAAAAATAAAAGTGAGACCATGAAGCCAGGTATGGTGGCTTATGAATATAATGGCCAGCATTCAGGAGGCCGAGTCAGTAGGGCCATCAAGAGTTCAAAACCAGCCTGGGATATAGAGTGAGACCCTGTGTCGTAAACAGTTGAGGGGTGATGGTGGTTCAGTCTGAGCACCTTATCAGCCAGGACCACACAGCAGTAGTAGGGACCTGCTTCTGTCATTAGAGACAACCTAGCAGCTGTCTTGTGTCTAACCCAAGTTTCATTTGTTTTTCTCTGGGGGTGGGAGGGCCGTGGGTTTAAATATTACCTTCGTTGAAATGTTGATACATTTGATAGTACTTTTAAGTTTGCTCTGGTTTGCTGAGTGACCAAAGGTTCAGATAAAGCAAATATCCTGTGAATATTAAAGCTGTCTTAATAGATAGCTCATATTTTCTTCTTCAAATTTTATTCTAGGACCCATCTGTTACACAGGTGACAAGAAATGTGCCACCAGGACTTGATGAATATAATCCTTTCTCAGATTCTAGAACGGTAAGATTACTTTCTCTTGGACTTCTTTTTAAGTGTTTAAATGGAAACTAAATAGAGGATTGTATCTTGATTATGCTTCTTTTCAGCTGATGGGGTATGTGAATGTAAAACAATCTGTGTGAATACATGTGCTATTTAGAATTCAGCAAGTTAGAATTAGTTTTCTTTTATGAGAAGGGCATTGGTGGTAGCCGGAAATGACCATGATGGTTCTAGAGAAGTTTCTCAGAGTTTCCTTCCATTCTGTAAAGTGCGAACCTGTGTTCTGTGAACCTCCCTGCAGTGCTTGAGACACCGGGAAGTGGAGTGAACCTCTCGTGGTTGTGCTGTTTGTTGATAATGTGGGAGATGCTTTCTTTATATATAGTTTTTAAAAAAATTTTGTGTTCATTAGTGTTTTGCCATGAGAAGTTTCGGGTCCCCTGAAACTGGAGTTATAGACAGTTGTGAGCTGCCATATGGGTGCTGGAAGTTGAACCCGGGTCCTCTGGAAGAGCAGCCAGTGCTCTCAATCACTGAGCCATCTCTCCAGGCCTGGGAGACACTTTCTTCCGATGGGTTTATGTCTGGAGCTTAACTGTAATATCTGTGAGCTTGTCACTTGAGTCACAGTGTTTTGAGCGGGCTCGCTTTCTGCTGTGACAGTTTCCTTCTGGACATCTACTTTCTCCAGGAAAGAATATTTATTCTTCCTCTCAAAACTGTGTTACTTGGGGGTATGAGAAAAGCTTCACTGAGCAGTGTTCTACTCTGCATGCACATTAGAGGGTATAAAGACTATCTTCTGCCGTCATTAAAGAGTTATAATCGGTTACAGTTAGGGCTTTTTATTAAAGTCTTTCTGATCATTTTATTTGACCCATATTTTACAACTATTGAAATTTTCATGCTCTCTCCAGCAAATGTTATCTTCTGAATTTATGTTAGTATCTTAGGCATTGTATTCACTAGGTCCCTATTTGTGGACATCTGTGACTCTTTAAATGTTAGCCACCCCATGAATACTTGAGTTATACATGTGGATTTTTGCCACCCTGTAATGATCCTTAACTAGTATCACCTCTTCTGGTGGATATTTTTCATAGTGCAGAAAAGTATTCTGAAAGATGATGTAGGTTTTGCTTGGGAATTTCTTCAGTGTCTATTTTATTGGCTTTGTACAAAGTTGTGATTAAAAAGAAAAATGTATTTGTTTCTTGTCCCCAGTTTCTGGGTACATAGATCTTAAAAGGTGTGGGATATATGCTAACTAGGTGACTGGTGGCTTTGGTCCCTAGAGGTGTCAGGATGAATGGGGTCACCAGAGAATCTAAGCATGGCTAGATGGCAGACACTTAAGTTTGCCTTCCAGGAGAGGGTCAGAAGGTGTCATAGTTAGCTCCACCTGTAAACTTAAGTCACCTGGGAAGAGGGAACCTCGGGTGAGTACTTGCTTCTGCCAGACTGGCTTGTGGCATGACTCTGGAGGCATTTTCCTTATTTTTAATTGATATAGGAGGGCCTAGCCCACTGTGGGAGCACCATTTCTAGTCAGTTGGACCTGGGATGTCTAAAAAGGGGTAGCGGAGCCTGGTGGTGCAGGCATTCAGTTCCAGCACTAGGAAGGCAGAGGCAGATGATCTTCATCAACTTAAGGCCGGCCAAGGCTACATAGAGACACCTTGTCTCAAACAACGACATGTGAACTTAGAAGCAGGAGGCAGTAAGCCATTTTCCTCCCAGACCACTGTTTTAGTTTCTGTCCCAGGTTCCTGCCCTGCTCCTGATTGCGCCAGGAATGAGTAAATAAGGGAGGTGGACTAAGCCTTTCCTCCCAGGCTTGCTTTTCTGCCCAGTGTTTCTTCGTAGCAACAGAGAAGCAAGCTAAAGCAGCGAGGAACCTCCCCAGCGTGTCAATCCCTGCAGTGCCACTGGTTTATGCCTGCGCAATGGGTCTGCCCATGAAGGTTCCAGAAGGGTGGTTGGTCCAGAAAGAATATGGGGGTCTGGGTCACTTCTCCGTATTCTGACCATGCAGCTCTTGGTCCTGAATTGTATCTTTTATAGCAAACTAGTAATAGTAACTTTTTTTTTTCAGTCTGTGGTTTTTCTTCCAGAAAATTATGAAATCCCAAGGAAGGAGAAATCATGGAAATCCCTCATTTGTAACCAGGTAGTCAAAAGTACACTTTGCAGCTTGGAACTTAGGAGTAGCATCTGAAGTGGGGACAAATATGTATTGAACCCTTAACCTTTGAAATCCATGTTCATCCCTGGCGGGTGGGGTGGGGGGGTGGGGTGGGAGGAGAGTAGTACCAGAATTGAACTGAATTGTAGAGCACAATGGATGTAGGTAGATGTGTAGGGGAGATTACTCACATAGTTGATCAGCAAAGGATGCAAATAAAATGAACATTGGGGGCTGGGTGTGTAGCTCAGTGGCAGTACCTCACAATATGGGAGGCCCTGGGTTCCATTTTCAGTACCACAAAAAGGAAAGAAAGAGCTTTAAAATTTCATTTTATTATTAGGCAGTGGGAACACCACCTTTGATCCTAGCAGCAGGCAGAGGCAATCAGATTTCTGAGTTTGAGGCCAGCCTGGTCTATACAGCTAGTTCTAGGATAGCCAAGGCTACACAAAGAAACTGTCTCAAAAACAAAAAACAAAAATTCTAACTTATTCCTGAACATTTACTTACCAGCCTTTGCTGAAGTGTAGCATCTGCATCCCAGAACACTGATAGGCTTGTTGGCAGGAATGTGATTGGTTGGATCATGCGACACTATGATTTATCTCATCGCAGTCAGTGCTGCGAGTGTGCATAGTCCACTGTAGTTGTGACTTGTCTTCTGAGGAGGGGAGATGGCTGCAAAGGTCTTCACTTTTGTCAATGAAGAATGGAAAGTACCAGCACTGCAGATAACAAACTCTTTTTGGACAATTTTATTAGCGAGACATGTTTACCCTTTTCAAAGAAGTAGCCTTAGATAATCTAAATTTTTTATTATATTTTGTTGTGTGTATATTTTGGTATATGCTTGGCACAGCATGTATGTGGCAGTCAGAGGAAAACTTGTAGGAGTCAGATCCTGGGGATCAAACTTGGGTCTTCAGGCTTAGCAGCAAGCACCTTTACGTACTGAGCCAATCTTGCCTGCCCTAAGTTGTTCTTATTGGTAGAATTCTCTATCAAGTGTCTTCTTTGTGATGGGAACCTCATGTTATCTGCTTTACCTAATCAAATTCTCACAGCAACATTACAAATAAGTATTTTAAGTTCCTTTTTTTTTTCTTTTTGGAAAGCACCTGAGACACAGACCTTCTAGTTTGGAAGTGGCAGTAACTCACCTGTTTTTTGTAAAGCTTTTGCCTTTTACCTGTCTTAATCAGGGTTTTTATTGCTGTGATGAAACACCATGACCACACCATGACCACAAAGCAAGCGGGGGAGGACAGGCTTTATTTGACCTACACTTCCACCTTGTTCCTCACTGAAGGAGGTCAGGACAGGAACTCAAGGTAGGGACCTGGAGGCAGGAGCTGATGCAGAGGCCATAGAGGAGAGCTACTTACTGGCTTCCTCCTCATGGCTTTCTCAGCCTGCTTTCTTAGAGAACCCAGGACCACCAGCCCAGGGATGACACTACCCACAATGGGCTGGGCCCGCCCCTGTCAGTCACTAAGAAAATTCCCTACAGGCTTGCCTACAGTCCCATCTTCTGAAGGCATTTTTTCAATTGTGGCCCCTTCCTCTCAGATGACTTTAGATTGTGTCAAGTTGACGTGAAACTCTCCAGCATACATCCTGTTCTCTTTAGAGACAGATGACTAAGGAGTAGAAGTTCTGGCCTTTGGAAAATTTGTCACCTAAATGGGATTTTAAAAAATTCCATGTATGTACAAAGAAATATACAGGACAAACGAAACATGGAATTGTAAATTATTGTCCTAGATGTTGAGCCTCTACAGTTTCAGAAAGGCTATTTAAGTAGGGTGTCTTTAAGTAGGGTGGTAGGCTATAATGAGAATGCATTAAAATTAAGCAATTCTGGATTTTCTGGTCAGATGCTCTGCTTCAGAATCAGGATCATGATGATCAAAGAGCCTGGTGCAGCCTGTGCGGTAATTTTACATTTGTAGGTTTGTTTTATGTGTACGGATGCTTTGCCCGCATACATGTCTTGTACCATGTGCGTGTAGTGCTGGTGATTCCCTGGAATTGGGAGTGTATTCATAGTTGTGAGCTGTTCATGGGTGCTGGAAACCAAACCCAGGTCCTTTGCAAGACCAGCAAGTGCCCTTAACCACTGGGCTCTCCGAGCCCCTGAAAGTACAACTTTTAAAAGTGATTCTGTAAAAATGTAAATACCCTTGGCTAGTTAAATTAAATGATGTGTTTGACTTGACTCCAAATACTGTTTTAGTTGCTTGGTTGTGTTTGCATTTGTTTTAGAAAGATATTTGTGGCCAAGCGGTGGTGGTGCACGCCTTTAATCCCAGCACTCGGGAGGCAGAGGCAGGCGGATCTCTATGAGTTCGAGGCCGGGCTGGACCGACAGCCTCCAAAACAATACAGAGAAACCCTGTCTCATAAAAACCAAAACCAAAAAAAAAAAAAAAAAAAAAAGTATTTGTGAACTGGAACTTTCTAGATGTGATAAGTTACTTCAGGTCAAGTGGGCAGATTATACAGCAGGGTGACTGAGTGTATATTATTGCTAAGATTTAAACACTTCATGTTCTTTTATTAAAAATAGGTTTCTCAGAGCTAGGGAGCTGGTTCAGCCTTTAGGAATACTGACTGCTCTTGTAGAAGATTTGGACTCAGTTCCCAACACCTGCACCGTAGCCAACAACCATCTGTAACTCCAGTTCCTAGGGATCTGATGCCTCCTTCTGGCTTCCATAGGTACCAGGCTCATGGTGTACATGTGCATGTGAGTCACACACACAGACACACACACATACCACTCCTACACATAAAAAATAAAAACAAATAATTCTTAAAGATATCAAGT